AGCAGTGTCTCTCTGAATGTTTGCTTTGTTCGTGATGACTTTCCATGCAAGTGAAAACTACGAAACAACTTGTAATTCTCCAATTTTAAAAATAAAAAAATTGAAATTGACGGTGAGGTATATTTATTTATTATACTATCAGTGGCTCCGTAAAATAAATCCTACCGCAAGGAGATAAGTTTAATTATATTATTTTATATATTTTGGGTTGTATTTTTAAAACGTCTGCGTTCGCCAAACAGAAACGACTTGCGCTAATTGTCTCAAATCCACACCAGCAAGCATCATTCATATGACTGTATCTAAAATTAACATCAAACTGTGAAATTTGAACTAAAGGACGACATAAAACCTGACATTTGTGAATGTCAAACAGTGAAAGTTTAGTTTTAAATTTATCTGCAATTATTTAGACATGACATATCGTCACTGAATGTATCAAATGCTACGAACATTTTTATACCACGCTCAAGACTGATTACTCAGAGGAAACGCTCTTTGACACGATTTTAATATGGCGTTTTTCTTTATTCGCCTAAAATTTTGGAAAATCTGACTGAAATTTATCTCTGAGCCAGCTTTATCTTATACCTTAGAATATTTATTTGCCACTCTCTTTCATCCGCAAAAGAAGGCAACCAGTATTGTTTCTGACATCCTCGCGTGTTTGCTGTTAGTGTCTGAGGCGAGTGTCTAATTTTCGGTAATAAACAGGATTTCAAATGCAACTAGTAATAGTAGTGATAATAGTAGGTATTACTCCATCACTTCTTCCTCCTGTCCTGGGTAAGACGATAAACTACATCCAACAGCAAGGCCTCTGATCAGGAAGTTTTAAGGAGTATGGAACAATCTCTTAATTGCTTGTGTTCCCAGGTCCAGCCTGATTCGGGGTGGTAGCACCTGTTAGGGTCCCAGCTATGGGTAAATAGTTAACCCTCAAACTGGGGTCAAAACACTATGAAAGTTTTAAAATAGCTTTTAATACCAGATATAAATAAAAAAAAATTATCACCAGCAATAATTTTTGATGAAAATTATTACCAGCAATACATTATTACCAGTAATACATTTTTGAAAATAAATATTACCAGCTACACATTTTTTGAAAAAAAAAATATCAGCAATAAATATCTTGTCGGCATGAAATAACCCATTGAGTTTGACATGCCGTAAAACGAAACTAAACAAACAAACAAAAATCTTCTCATTCCTAGACAGACTGGGTTCTATAGCCTTGGTTGGTAACCAGTCTACCGCAGCCTATTGCGAGAAAATCTTCAAACGCTCTCCTCCAACATAGCTTGAGACAGCATAGAAGAGTAGGCTCATAAAATCAACATGAGATATGAGAATTACATGAACCGAACATTTAGCAGCGATAAAATTTTAGAGAAAAATGGAAACAAAAAAAACGCTTAAACTTAAGAGAATTAAGCGTCTTTAAAAAATATTACTATAATGGGAAGCAACTCATCTTAAGATAGTATATTTATGAGTGGTTACTTCCCTTAGTCATTTTAATATTCTATACAAATAAAATACTGACAGAATTAGTTCCAGATGATTAATTTGTTTATGTTGAATGTTTATGTAATATAACTGTTATACTAAGAAAGTTTTGTTAAAACATAAGAAAGTGAGAAACATTGAAACCAGAAGGGTTAATACCAAAAGCCCGCAGGAAGGATTGAGGATTTAATTCACACATAGACGACTTGAGCTGTATGTCGAGTAGTCTGAGCAATGGAAAAGTGACCCAGATTTAGGGGACAATATTGATTGACACATAGCTGCAAATGCAAGCTGTAAAGCGAAAATTTCATTTTTTTTTTTTATTTTATTTTTTTTTTTTTGTAAACAATGAATTTGGAGTTGATTCCCCTGGACGAAAGTTGAGTTGAAATACCAGGAGGGGGTGAATAAGTTATCAACGCTCACTGAGGAGATTTAGTGAGAGGTAATAATATGAGAGAGTGGAAGAAGGGAATTCCATAGAATTATCGAATTCTCTTACTTCGACAGTTTGGGCGAATGCCAATAAATATGAATGCGGGAAGCGAATTAAGCAGACGAGTCGCAGAAGAGAGACGAGAGGCAGAAGAGACGAAGACGAGACCAGAGACAGGAGAAAGGCCTACGTCATTATCTGCCGACGAAAGCGTCCGATTTCAGCCTTGTGCTAAACTTTACCAACAAAAGTAAACCAGATTTTGCAAACAGTAAACAACGATAATATCACTTCCGATTTAGACCCGGGTTGGGCTGATAATTAATTGCATGCGAACTCTAATATATTGTACGAACGACTGATATAAAAACAGTATTTACTTTTGTATAATTTATTCAAGTGTTATTTTTTTCCTGTGCCATCGCCCTGTTTGGACCAACCCAACACCAAAATACCTGCAACGATTTGATCCTGGCCTCCTTATGATCAAACTTAAATCACAACGTGGGATAAGGTTAGCTCCGGATTGAAGCGGTCAATTCAGCGACCAGCCACGGTGTTGGAAGTCTTGGACGACTGTAGAGCGATTACATAACAAACAAAGCAATTTTTTGTTATGTAATAAATGTAATATAACAAAATATTTTTAACAAACGTAGTGGGTACCTGAATTTTATAGATTATGCAAAAACGTTTGATAAAGTACGTCCCAAAGAACCACTGGAACTGCTAGATAACTTTGACATATTTGGGAAGAATGTTAGAATAGTCCATAACTTATAATAGCAGCAAACTCCCTATATATGGATAGAAAATGAGTTCAGTAAATATATGAAAATAAAAAGGCGTCTAAGACAAAGATGTGTCTTCTCACCGGACTTATTCAACAGTGAGGCTATTTTGAAAGAAATAGAATTCCTACCACGATTACCACGATTCATTATTGGCAGCCACAATCTTAACAACATAAGGTATGCAGATGACATGGTGTTGATAGCAGGCAGAAAGTAAATTACAAGAACTACAGATTGTAGTGAAGGAAATCTAGAAGAAAGGACTAAATATCAATTGCAAGAAGTTAGACTGCATGGTTGTTTGCAAATGGAACGGACCAACATGCAAATTACAAATCGGAGTTACCAAAATCAAACAAGTGCAACAATTAAAATATAGCCGAAAGCGCTCGAATGTACAATACATTTGGACACATTCTATATAATTTACGCCCAGAGAAGAAAAAAATTATAAAACACATGAAAAATTAAATAAAACTTAACAGCAGTACTTTGTCATTTATTTTAATAAAAGTTGTATAAAATAGGGATTACTGCCCAAATACACAATTACACACACACACACACACACACACACACACACACACACATATATATATATATATATATATATATATATATATATATATATATATAGAGAGAGAGAGAGAGAGAGAGAGATTTATTAAGCCGGTTAATGAAATTTGAGGGATAAAAAGACAACAAAATGATAACAATATTGGCAATATAATTGATATTTATTATATATTAAACTTTTAGCTAAACTGAAGCACGAAGAGAACGATTTTAAAGTCGGAATTTTCTGACACGCCTGTATTCTTTTTCAACGAGACGAGGAATAAACAAAGAAGTGAGACTCACTCTTCCGATGAATGGTGTTGTTGGTTAAAGTGCTCACTATGGAAACTATATTCTCTGAGTAAGCCCGAATCCCTGTTTAGTCACATGCTTAGTCATATATTAAAGGATTAAACGCAAAGGAGTCTCAAAAATGCATAAAATGAAAAGGCTAAAAAATTGGCACGAAAAGAGAGACTTGAAGATTCAAAATTTCAATTTAAAAATATAATGAACTGAAATAAGCCAACTGAAATGAAAGGTTCAAAAATATTTCAAGCCAATGAATAGACCCAACCCAATTTTAAAAATCAATCTCTGGTAACCGCTAAAAACGCTTAAATACGCTGATAGAAGTGAATGCCACTCAGCACGGGTAACTCGGGAATACAAAATAATTTCTATGATTTGATAGAAAATGTAGTAAATGAAATCATTCTGAGTGAATTATATCTATCTTAATTTCTGTCAAAGAAACTTCCAACATTAAATATTTACTTAAGGGCACTTTATCGTCTTTTATGCAAACACACCAAGTCTTTTATGGCTTCTTTTATTTCTAACAATAATTGTTAAATTCTTGTCCCATATTTTTGATATGTTTATTCAGGTTCATTGAATATTCTAATTCAATCCATATTGATAATTTCCCTTTGTAAAATATGTATAGAAAAAAAAAAGAATTAATTTCTCCTTTCAAAATTTGTCTTTTTCTCAAAATTTTCACTGAAATTGACACGCCTAAAAGCTTTAAGTTTTCAAGTTAAATATGGGAGACAAAAGTAGAAATGAATGTTTCTTTTAATCATGATTCCAGGTAATTACAAATTTATGTACCCGGACTCATATCAGCGGAATATGGGAAACTCGACGAAGTGTAATGGTTAGCAAGATTGTCTCGCTGGAAAAATTACGACTGGGTCGTAAGTTCGATACTCACTGGAAATCGCATACTTTCGGTCTTGTGCTACAGCTAAGCTATTCTTGGAAAATAACCATTTCTGCGGAATGAATGCTCTAAGAGATTAGATTAAAAAGAAAGAAATTCACGCTTCCAAATTAGGTGATTTTGAAAATTATTTTTCGTGAAGTGCGTTTAGCATCGACACGAACAAATTCATTTAATATTAGTCTTTTAGTAATTAGTCCATCTACTATTGCTTGATTGATTCGTTTTCTACGGTTTATCAACCCTTTGCAGGTTATTTAAAGCCAGAAAATATTTTTAGATTGAAAGAATTTTACATAATAATGGTTTACTAATACAAATCTTACGAATCAAGTGAGGGGAGAATAGGTCGATCTATAACTTTTCCCAGGGGTATTTGTGCGTAAGTAAAAATAACGAACCAAGCGGGAATTGGAACCCGGCTCCCTGATTAACGATTCCGACTCATTACACCATCCGCACATCCTTGCTTACGGCACCTGGTATTCTCAAGCGGTAACCCATCTAGATACTGACCAGGCTCGACGTTGATTAACTTCAGTGATCATACAGGAACCAATATTTTAACGCGATGCGGCCGTAAGGCTCCATCTACTAGGCCGTCTACAGTTGAGATCATACCGTTATTGTGAACTCCACAATCCTTTCATTTAGCATGCGCTTCGCCAGGGCTACAAGACGTCTTGAATCCACAGTTGTCTTTCTCATAGACTTGTTACTAAGCACTGCGAAGGAAGAAGAAATTAATTAATGCCTTTCCCCAACGGTACTTCTTTTTTTTTTTTTTTTTGCGAAACTCCCAAATTTATCGGTGAAATAGACACTAATCAAAGCATAATGAAACTCGACCGAAATTCAAACACGGATCGACGATTCCTCGTTTCGAGTCGCTACTCACCACACCGCCAACATGTCAACAAAATAATGAGACGTACTAGTCGTAATACTAGTATTATGACTGTAAAATATTAATTCTAAAAGCAATTAATTGCTCATTGTTCTTTAACCTTTTCGAATATTAATAGTAGCAAACACTTTTTGTAATATTTTTGTAAAGTCGTTGAGTTTATGCAAGTGCGTGGGATGGCCATTTTTTTTTTTCATTGAGGTCCTAAAATTCTCTTGTGTGTACGAGGTTTCCGCACTCTGATTCGTGAACTATGCCGTTTATTTGAGGCAAGTAAGAAAGTAATGAGCGTCTCTCAAAAACAAGCGGAAGCAATAAGCACCTGGGGAAGAATGTTGCGATGGAATTAAAAAAAAAAAAAACAATTACAAAAATAAAGAAACTACTCTTAATAAGTCTGTGGAATAAAGAAAAATCCTTTCTTTATAAAAGCTCAGACAAAACGCGTAAGGTCAAAGGTCTGACTGGCCATTGCGATAACAACAAAGGCAAGTCCAAATAATTTCGGAAAATACCCCATGTTGACATCAGTGTACTTCTAAAATCAACAAGAATGTTAAGGAGAATATTGAAGTACTAGGGATGCTTTCTGCCACTTAATCTTCAATGGAAACCACGACTACGGTTTTTAATACCATGTCCTTTCATAACATTGCTATAATTTATTGGGAAACATAGTAGAATTGTTTACCATTTCTTTCTCTACGGTTTTGAATTCTTTTCCTAGAATGGTTACTGTGCATAACTAGAGAACCTAGACTACATTGTTATTTAATCCATAGTTGGAATAGGGGCGTGGTATCATGTTTGCTGTTTTAGAGAACAGTGACTATTGTTCATCAGCTTTGTGGTCCTTACTCGGCCACTCATTGACTCGGTGTCGATAAGTAGGTTACTTGCCATTTCCTCCTACTTCTCTTCTCGTCAATATACCCAGGTACCCGTTTGTATGATTGTGGATCTTTAATCGGGTACATGAGTCAGAAACGATATAATACGTATTGTTGGTTTGTAGCTACAAAAAAAATACGAGCTATTTCAGTAGATGGACCAATCTGTTGATATGTCAAAGTAAACAACATTGCCCGTGTATTACCGGATATGTCACACATTCCTCGACAGAACTCCAGCAGGAAATAAACAATCTGTTTTTCTGACTTTTTATATATCATTGAAAAAGCCATTTTATGCTCTAAATTAACCGAACTTTGGGTTAAGAACTTTTGTTTCTGCGTGAAAAAAAAAAATCACATCGCGTAATGTGACTGTTCCAATGATTTTCGAAGTCAAATATGAATATATGTGTAAAAAAATCAGATATAACTAAAATGTATCAGTAAAAGGACAATATGAATAAAGAGAAAAGGAAAACGTATATGAATTGCATAAAAACATTCAACATCGTTTACACATTTTTGTTGATTAGACATTAAATTACATCACTTAGCATCTTCCATAATTTACCTAGACTTTTCAGTTAAACTGGTGAATATTTATGAGAGGCTCTTAAATTTTAAAAAATTTAAAAACTAAAATTTTGACTTCTGTTTATAAATACTTGTTTCAAAATAAAATTTTCACATTTACCTTGATAAAGTCTGTCAGAGGACGAAACGCGTTGGTTAAGTTTTTTTTTTCTTTTTGTCTCTATTCATGAATATATATATGAGATGTGATACAGCGAAAGATTCTGTTTGTCAATGACTTTAGCGTTTATATACATCACGTACATAATACATTAAAAGAATCCCATTCTTTACCGTGAGCCGAAGCCAAAGCGGTCGAGTTTCGATCCCGACTTGAATCAATCAAGTGTCTAGGCAGACTGATGAGCTGTAATACTGCAAACAATATATATATATATATATATATATATATATATATATATATATATATATATATAAATAAAAGAAAGAAGAGTCAGATTTATAAATCAGACTTCTTTAGCATTTATTTTTAAAAACAGCGCTCGATACACAGTAGAGGATACTATTATAATTATTATTTAAAAATATGTGTTTATCGCGACACAGAAATTACCATGTTTCGAAACCAAACTTAAATCTTAAATTAAACTTAAAATTTAAAGTTTAGTTTCATTTTCAATCGATGCTGAATAAGTTTCCAAATAAAATGATTTACTCTATTATAAGCTAAATACTATTTAGCTTATAATAGTCAATCATTTTTTAATTTTTTTTTATTAGAGTAAATCATTTTTTTTTCACCTAATCGGATCATCAGGGAAGGCCGGCCTTCCCTGACGATCCGCTTAGGTGAAACCTTGATAGGTTTGTCTGGCTCTCTAGGTTTAACTAGGTCTGCTCTACTCATTGTATTGAGCACTTTATTTAATTGTTTTGGGTACTAGCATCGGGTTTTTTTCTTTGGGCCTTGAACCCGTATGCTGGACGATTATTTTCGGTTAACGTACATGTTCTTGGTTCTTTCTTTTTTTATATACCTTTTTTTCCCTTTGGTATTGGCTTGTTTATTTGCAAATCAATACACCGAAGGTTTTCCGAGCGAGTATAGTTTCTTATACTTATAAGATTTCTATTAATATAATATATATATATATATATATATATATATATATATATATATATATATATATAAATTTATATATATATATATATATATATATTCAATTTAATCCTCATTTTAACTCTCACTGTTATTGGCCTTGTGTCAGACTGAAATATAAGGTTTCAATCGAAATCGTTTTATTGTTACCGGATGCAACATCAGAGATATTTATTATATCTCAAATTACCCATTGTTTCCCGTGTCTTACTGAATATTTCACACATCTCTTCACTCCAACAAAATATAAAGAATTTCATTTTTTTTTTTTATTAATATTTTATTTTAATAATTATCCTATCTTCTGGGTGGAAGGGCGTTATGGCGTAATGGATATCGGCTTGGAATGAGAACTCGGAGAGCCGCGTTCAAATTCCAGTTTAGTTTGTTATATTCACTTACGCACAAATACGTTTGGAAAAGATATAAATCTGTCTCTTCTTCCCCAGCTATGGGTTAAATAGCAAAACAGACTAGGTTCTTTAACCTTGGCTGGCAACCAGTCTGCCGCAGAAAGAAAAGAAAGAAAGAAAAATCTTCTCGTCAGTTATGTATTGAAAGATCCATAATCGCCCAAGCGTGTGGCACTGACAGGGTAGCTCATTGTTTTTGTGTTTTATCTGGAAGCTTTCTACCGCAATGAAATCGAATAATAAGAGTGACAACAACAAAAGGGAAACGAATAAACTCGAGTTATTAAATATGGGGGATGTATTTTTTTGTCCGTCTCAGTGCGGAAGGTGCTTTGAACTGTTCTTGCCATTGGTTTTGAGTCATTTTTCTACCCCGCATATCTCGGAGGGTTCCCTGGTGGGAGGGGGTGAGAGGCCGCCGCCTTTATATCAAACAGCAGGGAATGTTGCGTCCCTCCGCATCCCGTGCTTTCAATACTCCTTGAGTCATTCAAACGATTTCCAGATGCCACTTTTTCTTTAAAAAAAAAAATACATTCCTCTTATCTCGGTCCCTCCTTTTCTTCGCCTCCTCCTCCTCCTCTCTTGTATGCGTTCACTCAAACAAACACACACACCAATTCTCAAACCCGTCAACACCCAGATATAGATATTTATTAACTTTTGCTTAGTAGGGCACCACAGCTTAATAGGAGAATGTAAGATTGTGCTGCGTCAGTCTTCCTTGACGAGGGCTCGCCTTGAATTCCCGACCTGTAACATTAGTAAAAAAAATCATCACTAATTCAGCCCGAGGATGCAAACAAGGAGGAAGCTTATGCTTAACATAAGGAAGAGACAGATGGAATTTCTGGGAGACGTCATGAGAAAGGAGGGCCTGGAGAATCTGATACTCACGGGACGAATAGAGGGAAAAAGAGACAGGGGAAAGCAGCGAATGACATCCGTGGTGGGCTTGGGTAGGCGTATGGCAGAGCGTGGCCTGGGGGAGTTAGCAGAAACACAAAACCTGTTGAGGGCCACAAGGGATAGGGGAAGTGGAGGGCCATGATCGCCTACGTCCTGAAAGGATACGGCACAGAAAAAGAAAAAAGAATTCAGCCCGAAGGTAGTTTATACACACAGAGAGAGAGACACACACACACACGCATAGAGCGAGATGGAGGGGAAGGGAGAGGAAAAGAAAGAAAGAAAGAAAGAAAGAAAGAAAGAAAGAAAGATGGTGGATATATAACTTAATACATATGGTTAGCTCTTTCATGCATCAGAACTTAGGACATGAAACTACTAGTCGTTTTACAGTGATGATTTCTATGTTTACACTGATTGTATCTACAAATGCTCTGTGACAATACTGAGCACATTTTTCCATTAAATATAGCAAATCTTAAAAAATATAATTTTAAACATTAACTTACTACGGCCCCTTTAACTTCTGAAAGCTAACCTGAACATTCCCGGTACAAAAGGGACCGGCAAACCATTGCACTGTTCTACCTAGAATGACATCATGAACCACAATTGCGAGATGGGGGGGAGTAGTGACCACAGTCGCACAAAATGCGCTAACTGAATTAATAAATGCATGAACTTACAACGCTTAAGCGCTTACTGCAACTGGAATCGCCTCTGATATGCATGTATATTTTCTTTTAAGCGTTTCACCCCAAGCA